CGCCCGCTCGCGCCCCCAGGCGCGGGCCACGGAGCCGAGCTGCCATTCTTCCGCGCGCTGCTGGAGCGGGCGCGCTGCTCCCGCAGCTGCCAGAGCCAGCGCCTGGGCGGCCCCGCGTCCCGGCACCGCGTCAGCGAGGATGTGCGCAGCGACTTCCAGCGCAGAGTGCCCTACAACTACCTGCAGCGGGCCTACGTCAAGGTACCGGAGCTCCCTCCTGCCCCCACACCCTGCTCTGGCGAAGGCTGGGTCATCCGAGCATCGCTCTGCCCTGCGGCCCCGCAGACTGGGTCTCCTGTGTGTGAACGTAGATGCCAAGTGGCCCAAGCTCTGTGGACTGCACTAAATGAACCCGGACAGGTCCTTTTCTCTGTCTCAGTATCACCTTCTCTTTCAGAAAGTGGGCTGTACTGATAAGTCAGTGTTAAAAGTGCCCTTCACTGGTCCACCTAGCCGCTCTATTCTCTTCTTGACCTTTCTAGACACAGTCCAGTGTGCATTCCACTGGTCTCTTCCCTCACCGCCGTCTGCGCCCTTTCTCTGTAGACTGACAGAAAGCTTTCTAAAGTTGAAAGTAAACGTGATCCTAAAGTAATTTATTCCTCTTCAGCTAGTAAAGAGCAAAGTTAAAAGGTTCTGGAGAAAGTGCGCTCAAGGTGCTGTGAGGCAATCTGCTCAAGTGCTTTCTTTGGTACCGGCTTCTTATTGTCCTGGGCTATTTTCCAATAGATGCCCAGTGGTTTCTGGTCTTATTTGTGTCTATTTAACTTCCTTGAGGTTAGCGTCAAGAGGTATACAGTGTGGCATATTTCCCACAGCCACAATTTTAAAGATCTTAACTGGGTGCTTTGCCTGAAAAAATTTAGAATGAATTCCTCAGCCCTCTCCCCCAGTCACCGGTTTTACTAGGAACTACTTTCTTTCCACCTTCTGGCATTCTGAGTCAACATATTACGGTCTATTCTACTGGTGTGGGAGGAGTTCATGAAGTCACAACTGAGGAGGAAACTTAGTTCCAGTGCGCTGTGTCTACAGTTGACTAGGCTGGGGCAAGAAATGAGGGGAAAGCCAGAATTCTCTCCAGGACAAAATTCTGTTCCATTATGCTTTCTGATTGGTTTACCAAGGCTTATGGTTTCTTTTAGACGAGCATCACAGTTTCTGCTGTTCTTCCAGAAATCAGTCAGAAGGGACCTTGAGGAGCCAATAGCAAAGATACCATAAGCTAGTTCAGAAGAGACCCTGAAGTGTGCTCACTATGCCTGGTCCTTTCAGGAGTCTGATGTGAAGTGACCATCTTGCTAATGGTTCTGTTACATCTTGGAATGATTTCCTTTCTCACAAAGGAAAGAAAGAGAGAAGGGATATTCATGTTAAGTCCTTTGGAGAGAACCCTGTGGCAAATTCAAGCATGTGGGTTACTGTGATTCTGTAGTTGCATTGGTTTCACTTAATATTAAATTTATCACTCATTCCGTGACTGTCCCGTTTGTCAAAGGAGATGAAGCCATAGGCTTAGGAGCCCTCAAATTTTTGTAGTGACTTGGTTCTAAGAACAAGTCACACATAAAACACTCCTGTAAGTGAACTGCTGGGTATTGTCTGAGGAGCCAATGATGTTTAAGATGTTCTTTCAGAAACATATGGCTTCATATATTCATTTCTATCCACCAGTAAGTATTTCTAAGTACCTACAGCCTCTCATCTCTTCCTGCTCTTCTTTCCCCTTTCACTGGTCAACGTGAATCCACATAATTAATAAGCTCTGCAGAAGGAAATATTTTTACCTCTTTGGAGATATGTTTTCGATGGTTGAAATTGGCTAACATCTAAAGAATGCATTATTGTTTTCTCCCTTGTAACCCCTGAAAACATTAGAAGTAGAGTGAGCCTTGGTTTTTCTTCCCAGAGATTTTCTCATAAATATACACCCATACCCTCCACTACCACCACCACCACCACCACCACCACATCCATTTGGCCAAAAAAAAAAAAAATTTTTAAAAAAAAAGACAAAACCTTTTAAAACAGTAAAAGGCCATCCTTAAGCTGTGAGAGCTTTGGATTCCGGGAAGTTCATTCACTAGCAGGATGGCAAGCTCCCTGCATGTACTTGGATGTGGTCGTAGTAGCTTGTATTACGGAATTGCTTCTGACATGTACAGTCTAGTTAGCACTTACAAGTCTAATCCTGGGCCAGATCTAACTCAATGAAGAACACAAGGATTCTCATAGCTACGGAAGTGCAATCATTCCCACCTAAGAGGTGTATGCACTGCACAATCCCCAGGAGGTATAGCCTCTAAAATCTTGACTAATGAGCTACCAATATAAAGGAATCCCATTCATTAATGAGATGGACAGTAAGAGGAATTGAGAATTGTAAACTCTGAGACCCTTGGAGTTTAATTTCTCTTTTGATAGATGAAGAATAGGATTTTCAGAAAGGGAAATGACTTTTCTGAATGTCACATCATAATATCAGAGATCAACATGATTTGGTAAAGTGAGCAAAGAACTGGGAGTCTGTCTGGGCTCAGAGGCTAATGGACTGTATGCCTTTGCTGTGCCCACAGGCTGTGGAGGATCTTAAGTGCCACAGAATGCGGTACCATAAAGTCAGATGTGGACAGCTCCAGGGATGGGCAGGTCCTTGTTCTATGGGTTCAAAGAACCTCCCCTTTAGGTCTGCTCTGCAGTATCTTTCTAGAGACCTGGTAGGCTGGAAAAATGTCTGAATAGTTAGAGGCCATAGTTCCACCAGGCACTACTAGTCACTCTGTGTATGTGTGTGTGTGTGTGTGTGTGTGTGTGTGTGTGTGTATGTGTGTGTGTATGCAAAAGCAGAGCAAGATGCTTTCACCTTTTGATTTTTATCACTTTAGATTGTAAGACACAATTCATCATTCAAAACCTAAAACCTAAGAAACAGTAATCGATGTAACGTTCTTTGTGAGAGCATGTAGATGTTTCCCTTTGCTACTGTATAAAACGAATGTTTTAATCCAGCATCCACAGCCACTCTTCCCCTTCCCTTTTACTCTCCTGTCTATCTATGCCTGAAACTTTGGATCTCTTTGCCTTGTTTAGTCTTCCTGGGAAGCTTTTAGGCTGTGGAATAGAAAACAATGAGAGAATCAAGTCTGTCAGCACCAGCTTCCTGACCTGTGATTTCCTATCTGCTTGCTTGGTTTGAGTTTCAGAGGTGAGGGATGTGAAACACCAGGAACAAGGTCTGATTCTCAGCAAACACTGCAGATGCATCCATCCTTATCATTCTTATGATAATACATATCTCCTCCTCTTCACTTGATGATATTGTAACTATCTGACCTTAATACCCCAACACAATGGGTAGAATCTTTTGAGTTCTACCTTGTCCCTCCACAGCTCCCAGTAGCTGTTTTAAATACTCCTAGCAGAGAATTTTCTGCTTCTTTTTTCTTTTTTCATTTTACCTTTAGTTTGTTAAATGAAAAACAAAACAAAATGAAACAACAACAACAACAACAACAACAACAAAAACCTTTATCACTTATCTTCCCAAATCAAAAATTAGGAGTTCTTTTTGCATCCCCTAAAGTAGACACTATCAGATATAGATGCTTACTAAAAGAATTATCACATTACCCTCTGGGCATGAAAATGTGTCTTAACATTAGCCATGTAAGGTCCAGAGTTTGGGTCATTAGCAACCATGTAAATATCTTAAACAAGATTGGTAGAAGTCCATGCAAGTATCTGTTTGTTGAATGAATACTACCTTAGCTCAACACAGATAAAATATTGTTCAGGGAGATTTCAAAGTAGAGGGAAGACAGTTTGCCACATTAAGTATTTGTTTTTCTGAATGTCACTGTAGTGAAAGGCCACAGGAGGACTGACTCACTGGGCTTCTGACTGTTTTGTATTTCGAAGTTCTGCCTTTTTAAACCCTCTCCACACTCCCTTCACTTTGATTTTTTTTTCTTTTTCTAACTTATCTTTAATTTTTGTTACTTAAAGCTGTGCTTCAGAAAATCCTAGGCACAGCTTGGCTGTTTTTAGGAACTTTTTTTGAGTTTAAACAAATGTAAGAGTGATATTTTCTCTTATCTGTGTCCTGGATCATCAGGAATGGCTTTTCTGTATCTATTTTCTTCAACTGTTCCTAGCCATTTAAGAAAAACTGGCAGTAAACTAGCGCTGTTTGTTTATTTCTTTACTTGAAACAAGCTTGTTCCTGCTTGTTCAGTTCTTGAATTCAGGCTTTGTGTAGTTTGACCTTTGTTTTTATTCCCAGGATTAAGTGGGGTAGAGGAGTGGGGATTGTACAATTAGGCAGTTCTGTTACCCACCCCCATTCATTTAAAATCCCTTATCTTGACAATAATCTATTTGTGGTTTACGTAAAGGTAAGCTCAAGTTATTTTCCTGCCCCTGGTCTGCTTTATAGCTGTTTTCTTTTTCTAGACTGAAGGCTTCAAAGAGAAACTGAAAACCAGACAACTGTGTCCATGAACCTTGTTGTTCAGAAAACCTTGTCCTGACCCCATATTTAAGTATTTTTTCAAGTATTTATAGAATGTGTACATGTTGTCTTTGGGTAATTTCAACTAGGACGGTAGTTTTGTGTTCTTAGAGTACCTGATCTGAAATATTGGTTACTATGCCTCTGGAAATGAGTCCTTTTTCCTCTTTCCTTCTAATAATTATTTTTTTTTCTTTTTCTGCTTGCATCATCAAAATGTGGTAGTCATCTTCTCAGCCTCTGTTCCATTTCTTAGGAAGGAAAGCTGTGAAATTCATTGTCTAGCCATCCCTAGGTCCTGCCTGTTAGCCACAGCAGGGCTGATCCTTCTGAAGACTGGTCACCATTCTCATAAATATTAAGTACCACAGGGCTTGCAATTTAATCCAATCAGAGCAACAACTGCCTATAAGTTCTCTCCACTCAGCCTGGGCCATCAGGGATTTGATCACAGATTATAATAGAGGAAAGTAATAAACTGCTTGCCTCTTTTTTTTTTTTTTTTAATGGACTCATCTATGAGAATCAAAAGATTCTGTCAGTAATGTCATTTGCTCATCTATAAACTCTAAAGGGGTAGTAAGTAGAGTTCTTTTTGCTAACATATTAGCTTGCCTTGTGGGAGGGGTTTGATAAATTCTGAAAGATGGACTTCTTCATGTAAAATAAAAGCTCATTGGAATTGGTATAG